TCGGCCGGGTGGAAGTCCTCTGGGGAGGTGGGGCGGCGGGTTAGACCGGGGGAGCGCGGTGCCTCGCCCCCCTAACCTCACCCCGAACCGAGAGCCCCAGGGGCGGTGCGCGCCGGTAGTCTCAGCACTGGGGGAGGCTGAGACAGGAGGATCGCAAGCTGGAGCTCAGCCTGGGTTGTTTAGCAATAAATGGGTTATTTGCCTTAAAATATAAAAAGGCTGGAGGTGATGTGAATGCCATGAGTTCCACTGCCAGTACCGGGGTGCCGCCACCTGCCTCGCAAGCGCAAGGTCCCCAGTTCCATCCCCGGTAAACAAAACAAAATACAAAACAAAACGCCTTTGTTAAATTCATGTCACACACCCATTGACCTCCCGCTCCGGACCAGGCTTCAGGTTGGGCTCTCATCCCTGGAGAGGCGGAGATAGCGTTGCCCCCGGAAGTAAAGATCAGCAGTCAGTGCTTGTAAAGCATTAGCTGTAGAGCAAGGGCTCAATAAACTTGAGTGCAGCTCCTGGGCCTCAGGTTTGTCCTCTAAAAATGTGGGTAATCAAATTCCACAAGGGTTTAGTGTGGCTTTTGATACCAAAGGTTTCTGTTCCTTACCCAGGAAACCACTTAGCCTGGCAAGGCAGAAGTGTTTGGGTTTGTTTGGTTTGGGTTTGGTTCTGTTGCTTTCCCCAGTACTAGGGAGTAAACCCAAAGTCTTCACACGGGTACATCCCCAGCCCTTTCTATCTTTTTATCATCTTGCTAAGTTGCCCAGGCAGCACTCAAACTTGGGGTCCTTCTGCCTCAGCCTCCCAAGTGCTGCGGTTGCAGGCATCAACCCCAGCAGGCCCCCAGGATGGCACGGTGAGTCAGCGCAGTTCAGGCTCCTGCCGTCCTGCGTCTCTCCTCCTGCCAAGCCCCGCAGCTGGACCCTGGGTTCCCGGAAGCCAGGAGGACCCCATCCTCCAGGGGCACCTACCGTGTTTGTTCTTCTTCTGCTCGTCCTCCAGGCCCGGCACCCCGGGGATGCCCAGGAAGGTGTTGTGTGAGTTTCCGTACCACACCAGCAGTTCCTGGTCCGGGGGGATCATCTGCAGGGACAGAGGCCCGGTGAGCTCAGGGGGCCGCAAGGCTCTGGGGATGTCACCCCCTGCCCCTCCGCTTCCTCCCTTCTCTGTCCCAGCTGCGCCCGCAGGCACCGCCGGCCACCGCCAAGGGCAGGGAGCTTGCAGGTTTGGTTACACCCAGCCCGAGAATGTTCTGGAAACTGCTTCGTCCCAAGTGCATGGCAGAGGCTAAGGAAGGGGTAACTCGGGCTGACGGTGCCTCTCTCTGGAGATGCCAGGTCCACGACGAGTCCCTGTGACACAGGACGGCCCTGCTGCCCAGGAAATGCCAGCGCACAGTGACACCCGCAGTGGCGGAGGCCTGGTCCCCAGGGGACGTCCCAAGGACCCCGCCCGATGAAGTCCGTCACCTGTCCCGGCAGGAACCTTGAGCCCCAGCCAGGAAGAGCAGATGAGCAGAGGGACAGCTGTCACCATTCCGGGCCCGGTCCCCAGACAGCTGGCCGCCACACTGCCCAGGGTCCCTGGGGAAGGCAGACACCCCACAACAGCTGCCTCGGGTCCCTGGGGCCCCCTTCCGGGAGAGCTCACTGGGGCGTCTGGAGCTGCCCCCGCAGGTCAGAGAGAACCCAGAACCCGCTCGCCAGTCTGTGTCCGAGCCCGGAACACCCCACACCCCGCATCGAGCTCTGCCGGGCTCCCAGGGGTGGGGTGGGAGGGGGACCTCGGCCTGTGGCCACCTTGCCCCTACCCGTGACCCCGTGGGCTTCGGCAAGCCGGTTCGGGGTGCGACCGGGCCCAGGTCTCTCCAGTGACCCCAGAGCAGGGACCACAGAGGCCAGCTCTCCTGGGGCCAGGCCTCCTGTGGCCTCTGCAGTAGAAGAGGCGGAGGACAGTAGTGACCCCAGAGCAGGGACCACAGAGGCCAGCTCTCCTGGGGCCAGGCCTCCTGTGGCCTCTGCAGTAGAAGAGGGGCGGAGGACAGAGACTTTGTGTGCCCCTGGGCACCGGAGGAGGCGGAGGGCAGCGCAGGGAGAGGCGGTGTGAGCCCAAGGAGGAGCCGGAGCAGAGGGGAGAGGGAGGAGGACGGGAGAGAAAAGAGCCAAGGAAGGGCGGGAGGAAAGGGAGAGAAACAAGGGACGGAGGGGACCAGTTACACCCCGGGGGGTGCGGACTCCAGCTGCTCGGGCCGAGCTGACTGTGGAGGAAGCCACGGTACGAGATGGCGCAGCCGGGCCGAGTCACCAGTCCCCCGCACACCTTGCGGGGCCTGCAGTCCCCGAGCCCCCACAGCCGTGGTGTGAGTCACCTGCAGCACTGTTCCCCCCTGGCTCGGGCCTCAGCTGAGACCCGTCACTGGATCGGTGCCTCTGGTGCCCTCAGCCCCTGTCCCCGCCTGTCCCCTCAGCCATGCTGCATGAGGCTCCAGCCGGCCTCCCCACCTGCCTCGTGCCAGGGGGCCGCCCTTCCCTCAGCTCTGAAGCAGGGACGGTCACGAGGTGCTCTCAGCCCCTGCACCAAGACTCAGAAACGCCAGCGCTGTCCTCCCGCCACCTCCCTCTGCGGGGGCTGGGACACCTGCACGGTGGCTCTGCACCCTGGCACAGTGAAAGCCAGGCACGGGGGAGCCTTGCCTTCGGGGTCCAGGAAGACCACAGGCTGGGCCTGGACCCACCAGGACGCCAACTCCACGCCAGGGCCATACTCTCCCGCTCCATCTGTCCCGCAAGAGTAGCCACCGCTCCTGCACAGATACGGACACCAGACAGCCGGGGTCTCAGAGGGTCTGGCAGTGACTGTGTCTGGGAACAGGACCAAGGCAACGTTGGCCTTTCAGTTCTGAGAGAAAACAACAACTAGTATTAAATACAAAGTCATAGAATAAGCTGGGTGTGCTGGCACGCGTCTGTCATCCTAGCACCTGGGAGGCTGAGGCAGGAGGAGCTACATCCTCAGCCTTTTTTTAAATTTATTTTTTATTTTGAGACAGAGGCTAAGTCACTAAAGCAGCCCAGTCTGGGCTTGAGCTTTTGATCCTCCCGCCTCAGCCTCCTAGAGTGCTGGGTCACAGGTGTACACCACTACAACCAGTTAGTAGGAATGTTGTTTTAAAAATAACAACATCATGGTGCCTGGTGTAGTATGAGGGTGAATCATTTATGTACTTTTTACATAATTTTATTTTTATTTTAGCCTATGTTTAAGATGTGCTGAAATGGACTTTACTCCTTAACTTAAAAAAAAAAACTTAAAACATATTGCCATTTAGCTCAGTGGTGCCACACCTGCCCCACAAGCGCAAGGTCCCCAGTACAAAAAAAAAAGAAAAAGAAAAAGAAAACATATGAACATACAGCATGTCTACGCTGTAACAGGGTGAACAGTGAAACCCTCTCTCTCTAGGTGCCCAGCGGCCGCCACCAGCTCTCTGGACATCTTCGGCTCAGCCTCCTGAGATGTTTGGAAAACGAGCTGAGGAAAGGTCTGCACAGTGAAGCACCGCAAGCAGAGTGACTCCAGTTCTTAGGATGCATCCGGCTTTTTAAAAAAAACAATGAGTGCACCAGGCCTCGGGGGCACACCTGTCATCCCAGCCCTCAGGAGGCTGAGGCAGGAGGATCTGGGCAATGTAGCGGGATTCTGTCTCAAAAAACAAAAATAACCATGGCTAGGCACGCAGCTCAGTGCAGTCCCTGTACCAAAACAAAAGGCAAAACAAGCAAAAAATATATATCCATTACTTCTGTACACACCATAAAAAAATGTAGAAAAATTTTTTTTCAGAGTTTAGAACTTTTGTCCTAAAAATCACTGAAGTAAAAATTTGATAAAGCGTCCTGCTTTTCTTTACAACTCACACACACATGCACACACACACACACACACACACACGCCCCTACTTGTAGGGAAAAAATGGTTCTGTACATGAAAAAAAAAGATTTTTTTTTTTTTTTT